CCCCAAAACCCCAAAACCCCAGGAAAAAAATCTCTTCAATAGCTTTAATAATTGTTCAATAAAAATAATAAAAAAGTCCAGTTAAGATAACAATTTCAAATCCTTTTCTCAAAATATTGGCACCAGCATATAAAATCGCAGTTACTTAATCAAAACTGTAATAAGATCTGATGTAATTAGACAGACTATTTGGATGATAGGCATCAATGCAGGTAATTTGTGAGTCTCCTTTTCTTTATGCATAAGTTTCAATCTCTAATTTAGCTCTTACAGCTTCTTACCAATCAGTATTTTTAGTACCTCTAGACCCGCATTCACCAAAAGCTATTAAGTTTTCTCTGTCGGCCGAATGACAATAGTCCATTTAGGTTAGCAAGTAACTCATTTTCTGAGCATATAAAATGTGCGTTTCCTTACTGGCCCAGGTGCACATGCCTAAGTTGCTACCTTTCATCGAGCAGTCACATTTGACAGTTTCAGTCGCTGAGTTTTGATTATAGTTATACTTGCAAGTGCTCAGAGAAACTTTATTTGTTTAGGTGACGAAAGGGGAACAAGCATTAGAATCTGCTGAGTTATATGAAGCACACTTGCCTGAATAAGTGCCTGTAGGTACAGCAAACATTGACTTGCACACTTTACCGTTTTCAAGGAAATTCTGATGTTTTAAGTTTTCATTATGAATTTACCGATATCCTATTGATGCTCCATCAGCGAGTGAATAGGCAGTCATACAGGTTTTAGTTTTATTTTTAGAATGAGTTTCAGAAGGGTACCAGCATTTGTAATTCATTTCGCAATCAAAATCATGATCACACTCCTCGCCTGGCAATTTAAAAGGTAAGCATAAAGTGTTGTAAGGCCATTCCATTTAATGCCTACAAGTAAGACCTATGTCACATTCCTAGTGATTGGCGCATTCCTCCCCTGAACTTTTTCCTCGACAAATTCCAAAATAACAATTTCTTTGATAACATTGTGAGTTGTGTAAGCATTATCTCCCTGCTAATAAGTTATACTTGAACTTTTCTAAAGAAACACAATAAGCTTGAGTCTTTTTTTAATATACTGCACTGAGGTTAGGATCAGTTGAAGATTATGTAAATTATTAAGTGCTATTGACCCAAGCAAGTTCATCTCTATTATAGTCTAAATCACATACAAAGCCCTCATTACAAGGGTAGAATTTCACAGTAGTCACGGGATTAGTTCCAGAATGAATAAAGCAAAGCTTGTCGTCTCTAGATTTATCTGTGCATTCCAATATAGGACAACTTTGTTGTATGTATTATTCAATGAGGAAATAGCAGATAATCAAATTAATTGTCAACGATGAACTTTTGAATATCATTTTTTAATTAAAATTATAAATAGAATTAACTTAATTTAATTAGAATCACTTGCTTTTCTTTTTAATTGGTTAGTTTGTAGACTTAATCTTTTCAACTGGTTGTTGCTTCTTAGGCTCAACTTTCCCCTCTAACTTATTCTGAATATTTAAGATCTTGTCAAATATAATATCAATTCTGGATAGCAATCCCTGCAGAATTGCTGAGTAATTAGCGAAAAAATTCAACTTTAAATTGCCATGAATATACTACCTAAATGCAATAAATACTTAAGTCTAATATATGTTTACCCTGCTTTTTGTGCCTCAGATCTTATTTTGTTTATCAATTCAAAGAGCTCATCTTTAGGCATATTCTTTCCCTCTTTTAAGAACTTTGAAGATAATCTTTTCACTCCCTGTATATGCTTGAATGAGAGGGTATTTCTCTGCTAATTCTTTATCTTATACATCACTCTACTTAGAAGCATCGACTCATCTATTAAACTATCAATGCAAAACTAAAATTAATCCATTTTAATATTAGCACTTCACTCATTTCAAGTTAATATTAAAGTGAGGGGTTTTGGGGTTTTGGGGTTTTGGGGTTTTGGGG